CTGTGACTATAATCCTCATTCAGCAGATCCTCACTAGGATGTGGTGGGAGAGGTGGAGGGGTTTCATTTTCACCACTGCCACGATCAGAAACTGGAAACTCTGAAACAAAATTTAGAAAGGGGTTAAAAAACCTGCAGAAACAACTACATTACACCAGTTCACTGATTGATGACTGGAAGGCCTCAAGCAATGCTGAAGTAAATCACAAATTATTCAAATCCCTAAACTAACTAAACTAGAATTAAAATCACACCAAGCAGAAAATACACCCCTTGGGATTTTCCTGAAGAGCTGATTTTCAGATTTGCATATATATAATTAAAGGTAAATATAGGGAAACTTTGTACTTATAGTGAAGTTGAGTGCAAGGCACAAATTGCTTTGCTCCATTTTAGTGGAGTGCTTTACTCAATTTTTAACTTCTCCATAGCTGCATTCAAACAGATTGTAGGCTCATGATTTCAGTCCCTTTGATGGGGAGCATTTATCACCCTTCATGTACAGAAGGGAACCACATTCTCAGCAAAGAGCTCAGAAGTAGAAAAAAATTCTGTTATCCTATAGCAAGAGAACAAAGAGGCATTTCTTAATTACAGTCTTCCTTTCCTACCATTATGGCAACTCCTTTACCTTTACAAACAGCATCCAGCTAACACTAGAAAATTACCTTTTACAAAGACAAATATGAACTACTCAAACCATTCAGTGGTTTGCTAGGCAACAGCACTTAAACACCTGCAATATTTAGTAAGACTGCTGTGCTCACTGTAGGCCAGTTCATTATTGTCCTGCAAAGTCTCTTCTCAGCCCAAAGGTATCTTAGAAAAAGTCCCTGCACTTTTCAATGTAGAATATGTCTCACCCCTCTCAAACCTAATAGGAAACATGGACACTTCCTTGGATTTCAATGGCAGGTAAGCAATCAAAAAACGATGACATGCCACACTTTAACATGACCTGTTCTGTTGCATGAAATGTTGGCAGTCTTTTTGTACAACCCTGTCTGAAAGCACTAACCTATCTGAGATAAAAAAGGTTGGCAATGAGGGATCAAAAGAGAAAGCAATAGATTATATTTATTTGATAAGAGTGCTGATATAACAAACAAAAATATATTGGGGAAAAAAAGTCCAACAAAAAACTCCCCCAAAAAACCAAACAAAAAACAACCCCCACAAACCCACACTATTAGCACACACTGTTATCTCAGGAAAAGTGTGAGCATCATCAAAAGAAAGTGAGGATAAGCAGATGAGGAGGAAAGTTTCAATGAGACCTTAAAATATGATTGCCAGTCTGATGTAAAATACAGGTATATGCTACCTTACATATACACATGAGCTTCTTGCACTGTGATCCCCATTCTTTCAGGTTTGAATATAAGAACAGGAAACAAATGAGAAGTAAAAGGCAAGTTCTCACAGGAAGAAGAACTTAGAAGAAGAGAGGAACTCATATTTGTTCAATGTGATACCAAATGTAACTACCAAAAGGAAGGAGACTACAAAGTTCTGCAAAAAGACTGCAGGACATTAGTAAGAAATGCAGGTGAAATTCCCTGTCAGAGACTGCCAAGTGCTGCACATGGAAGTAGGGCAAAAACTCCTGAGACTTACACAAAGACTCTTGCAGCTCTGGAACAGTACACTAGATGTGCACTGGATTGTTCTTTAAGTAAATATATGCTTAGTGAAGTCAAAGGGAGGCAATCATTTACAAGTGCGAAAAAGTCCAAATACTCCAGCTAGAACTCAACAGTGAGCCTCATTTTTAAATAGTGTCTATGGTTTCATTCTTCCTATCCAAAAAATAATGTAATATAATTCAGAAGCATATTGAAAAGGTAGCAAGGCTAGTGGACACAGGTACAAACACTCCTACAAGGACCACAGATTAGGATTCTTTAGAGAAAGCAGCAATGAAAGAGGATATAAGAGGAGTCTATGACATAGTAGGAGCTATGCATAAGGTGAAAAGGAAGTTTTTACAGTCTCATGCACAGTAACAAGAAGGCAACCAGTTTAACTATCAAGTAGAACACCTAGGACAAACACAAAGTAGTGTTTTTCAGAGAACTCACTGCCATGAAGACACTTTGGAAAGAAAATTTTAAAAAAAGATTAAGATATGTACCAAAAGTTAGAGATGTATCCATGGCACAAGGGTCCAGACAAACCTTTTGACTTAGTAAGTCCCTAAAACACTGATTATCAAAAATAGGAAAGAGATGCCTGATGGAAAAAAATTTACCCCTCCTATAAAAAAAAAAAACCACACCAAAAAAAGAAAAAAACCCCTTAACCCTTCCCCCTCCCCAAACCCACAAAAAACCCAACAAACTAAAAAAATATATAATCATACCACACTTACACTGTGGTTAGCCTTTTTGAACAGACTCCTATAGTCATGGCAAGAGACTGAACATATTTGTAGTTATACTAACTTGGATTCACAGTAATTGGTACGTCATTTCACCAAGGCTGTTTGATCATGGGTTACCACTGGTATTTTTCTTACAGTAACAAAAGGGTACACATAGAAAAACGTCAGACTTCCTCAGTGAATTGGAAATGATCACAAGGGATTACAGCTCCCAGTAAAATGGGAGCAGGAGCCAGAGCATGAGAGAATTTAACCTAAGGGGCAGTCACTGGCTCCAGGTTCAAGACCTCAGGAAATGACCTTAACAGATTCAGATAAATCTAAGCACTGAATAAAATGTATTAAATTTTAAGATATTATACAGACTAAGAGAGTAAAAAACTCAGGCAAAGTAAAAATTGAGTTTGTCTATAAGACACATACAGCATTTACAAGGAAAATCTGAATAATTAAAAATATCACTTCTTAATTTTCTAGTTTGATGTTACCACATATGTATCAAAACAGGTGCTTGTACAACCATGAGGATTTGGCAGTCTCTGGTAGTAGAGAAAGTTTGATTATTTTATTACTCAACAGAGAGATGACAGCATTTTCCTTATAACTATTTATAATAAAGGGTTATAAGAAATAGAACCTCTAATGAAACACATCCCAGTAATCTTTCAACACCAGAAATGTAAAGCTGCTGGCACTAAAGTATCAATTCTCAAAGAGATTGTGCTAAAAAACACCGTGCAACAGCTTGGCAGCAAAAGAAGTGAGGACCTGAAGGCAGCAAGTGTTATTCATGTAAAAATAGAACAAACACTGGCATTTCAGTACTGGATCACTATCCCATCCCCCTTTATTTAAATATCTACAGGCAAGACAAAATTTAATGTTTTGGCTATAAGCACTTTTCTCCAGACATTAGGTTTTCTTGGTCACATATAATAGAAAAGACTCCTAAAACAGACAGCAATATTAGCAGGCCAAGCTTCCTGGTATTTTGCTGAGCTTTTATAAGAATTTTACTGGTGGGAGCAGTGAATGGTACTGGAAATAACTTATTGGAAAACATTAATTAAGAAAATGACATTTTATGAAACATTATACAGCTCCTACATTAAATTCTTACATCAGATCCCGTATTATGTTAAAAATCTCTTCTATGTTTTATTATTCTTTGCAAAAATGTACCAATTGCACTTCTATTTTCAGAATGTTGACAGCACAGTGTGAACATGTATTAGGATCTGTTCCTGCCTGACACAAGAAGCTCACTAGGTCTGTGACTCATGTCCTTAAGCGCACACACAACCTAAAGTTCATAGCTGTCATAAAAGAGGATAGTGCACAGCTAACGTGTTTCACCCTTACAGATACCCTGAAACACCAAGGACAAAACTTCTTAAGAAACAATGCCCCAAAAAAAAATTTAGACCAGTGATGGATGGAAATAGGTGGCAGGTTCATATGGAAAGCAGAATGAGCATTAGCTCAATAATAATTAACAGTATGATTTCAAAATAAGAGAAATATTTCTCCAATGTGTGAGAGTACTGTAAGCCCAAATTGTATTTCACCAAAACAATGTCTTATCAGAGCTGTCCCACAGCCCTCCTGCTGCAAGTGCCTGTGCAGTTTTCCTCTAAGATCATTGAAATTTTATTCATCAAATGCCAAATCTTCAACACAAATCACAATACAATGATATCTTGAGTCAGTGGTAACTACATCTTTGTAGTCTCTTGTCCACGGACTCCAATTCCAATCACTTTCCAGGCCATGGCTCTGAAGACCCAGCCAAGCCAAACCCTCCCTGTGCCAGCAGCTCTCCAAAGCTTCCTTTTCACATGTGACACATTATCTTCTGAGGCCATGACTGTTTTTTTGCTATAATGCCCTCTTACCATAATTCTTTAATTAAAAAGATGCCTATTTAAAATAATTTTATGACTGAGCTGAAAACTAGCCATCCTGATTTTGCATTGCAGTTGAAGAAATCCTTATCTGAAAGTACAACTCATCCACGTACTTTGTTTTGAATTTAAGTGATAGGTTAGCAGTTGCCATTCATCTGCATCAGTGGTTTCAGAGCATTTATTTTTATGGTTTTTAAGGAAGCATTTAAAGGTATTTGCTGCTTTCTGACAGCTCTTTGGTAATGCCTAACTCTACAGGGCAGGCTAGCTCCAAGGATTGGACCCTTTTCTCCTGAAACTACAGAATGAGTGTAAATTCCATACAAGAGAAACGAAAGGTAGATCTAAGCAAAGCATCTGATCTTTGAATATTTACAATGCTCCAGGCTATACCTAATTCTTTGCCCGGAGTCACATTGTCAAAATATTGCAGTCAACACAAATAAGTTACCCCGAAATTCTACAGAATTTTCTCTTCCATTTTAAAAATAAGGGCTCTTTGGTTTTGATTAAAAGTACCCCACACAGCCATCACAGCAGCCTATGAAATTACTTTTTGCAGGCTACCCTGATTCCACAGTTGTCTAGGAAAGTGGGAAAAATCATGCATAAATCAACTACATCAAAGAAAATACTTTTTTCCTGCTGAAAATAATGAAAATTTCCTGCTATATACTGAAAGGTATCTAGCTATGTGCTTGGCTTGAAGAATGAGAGCACAGTTAAAAGGATAGGGGTCAAGACCATCTCAAATACTTAAACTTTTCAAATAACTAGTACCTTGCTGAGTCAGGAGCAAATTGGACAGATAGTACAGTCTACCATCAGAAATGAAAAAAGACATGAAAAGAAGTGGCCTTAAATGCTCTTACTCATATGCTTCCATATGCTCGCACATGGAAGTTTTCTTTGCACAATTTACACAATTACCTAATTCCTTTTAATGAGTTCATTAATATAATTCCAGTTTGTAAATTAGGCGAATGGTTCTAACCTCTGAACAAATTTTACCTTAAAGTCTAAAATAAGCAAGTGCACTTTTCAAACATCATGTTTTAGTAAAAATTAATTAAGCTTATAATAACCCAGGACATAATCTAAAAATTAAATGTAAAAATCATTGCGCTCATTAAAGATATATAGAAAATAAACATTTTGACAACATATATTTTGCACTCATCATTTGTTTTTTATCCAGCCTTACGTGTTGGGGCAGCGAGCTAGAAACTGTTACTTAAACTGGAATTTGTGCCAGGAATCTCATTCACAACTTCTGAGTCAGCTCTCCCACCCTCGCTGGATCTTCAAGCCTCAAAGTAACATAGTGTGCACTTACTCTAATTAACTGTTTTTGGTGGCTGTGGATTTCAGGCAAGAAAACCACAAAGCGCTCTCTGCCTCAGCACAGAGAAGGGTATGTAGAGACTACCTTTGATTCCTTCCTGAGGACTGCATGTTACAAATTGCTGGAGAATGGTATCATTGCGTCGGGAAGCAGCTGCGAAGTTATGACTCCCGTCAAAGGCTGATTTTTGAAAGACTCCCTGGTCTGAGCGTTCCTAAGGGAAAAACAGAACCACACATTGCAACACCAAATTTACATATTCAACAATGCAGAAGAGCATCCATTGCTGCAGACAGTGCACAGACACAGTGTGATATAATGTGTGCACTGTATATTGCCTCCTCTCAAATGAGAAACTTGAGAGAGCTCTTCAAAACTGCAGTCTGGTTTTGCTGACCATGAAATAAGAACAACATCCAAGCTATAACAACCATTAAGAATGATGCACAAAAATGGAGATTTCTTTTTTTTTTTTTATGACCCACAACTGGCTTCATTCAAATTCTCCATCTGGGAGGGCAGCTTGTGACATTGTCAACACAAGAACATGGGCAATGCCAATGGTATTTTTCTGCCAGCCAGCTGGTTCCCTTCTCCCTGAGACTGAGTGCATATGTTCTGATGATCACACACTAGAACAGTTTTGCAAGTAAGGAGTTACACCAAACTCCCAAACGCAGGTCTTCTGGCTAGCAGCTAAACAAACTCCTGTCACACCTCTAGTCAGCTTTTCTTTTGAGACATTTCCTACCCCACCCCCCCATACATGCCATACCGCCTAATTTATTCTCCTGAGCAGTTGCATAAAGGAAAATAGTTGGGAAAAAAAAAATTAAAAATCACAGTTTCTAAAACTGGGACAGACCCAGAAATACATTTCTGTAGTCATTATTCAGGGAAAACCAAAAACCCACAGTGGGGAAATATTATGGCTAGTCTTCAAAGCAACCTTTATATTTTCTGTGATTTTATATCTATTTTTTTTAAGCGGGATCCAACCGGCTTCTATTTTTAAACTGCATGTTCATTATGTCAGCAAATATTATACTAAATATACATTTTCAAAAATTCCATAGTCACATATACGGAAGAAATGCATATATCTAACCCATGTAATTTATTTTTAAAATGATACAAGAGGTTTGAAGTATTGGCAAGTGACTGCCTGCAAACCAAGACATAAGGAAGGACAGCGTGTTACACCTCTTTGCAACCTGTTTCTCAAGCTTAATAATAAACGTAAAATAATGTAACTTAATAAAAATAAAATCGTAATAAAATAGTGGTAGAATAAATACAATGAAAATAAGCATAATAAAATGGAAAGATTGCACCTAAGAACACAAATCAGTGCTGGGAGGCTCATGGTGACAATATGGCTACAAATCTAAGCTTAGTGGACAGGCTGCACGTGTTACATTCTCTTTTCCTCAGTGCAGAATCAGCCATTTGAAAAGGCTATTTTCAACCTTCATACAGAAACACACACATACCACAGACACTGACAGTTGTGTTTCCTCTTGGAACTGGAGTCTTTATTTTACATAAGCTTCCTTAGGTTGTAAAGTCCACATTTACTGCTTTTTCAAAGTCTATCCATTGGAGAGACAGTGGAAGGAGGAAACTTGAATTAACAGCACCAACAAATCTGCTTTTCCAGCTCTTTGATAAATGACACAATCAATATCCCAACAACTGATCAGTAACCAACCTAATTCAAGTATTCAGCTTATAAAACATAGCTGTCATGGAAGACCTCCATTAGTGTCCGGCCCAATAAAAACAATAATGCATTTCTAAACATATTCTCCTTCTGCCAAGCTGAGATGCAGTGCTAGGGTAGCTGTTCTGGGGAAAGGAAAGAATGGGCACTGACCCATTTCTCCTACAGTCTCCAGACTCAAATGGAATTACAATTGAACGCAAAGACTACCCTATAAAAATTAATTCCTGTCTAAAATGAATTTGATTCAATCAAGACCTCATTATGCATTCTTCATAGGGCATGAGTCAAGACTATTTACCTCCTTCATACATCTGGATAATATTGAAAACTATACACTTAACTATAAAAAGCAGCCTCATACTTTTACTAGGTCAATCTGGCATTTGATTGGAAGCTTTTTAAAAAGAAGTAGCTTTAGTTAAGTAAAGAAAACTCAACAGGACTAAACTTTCCTTGAAGGTGAGCTATCTTTCTTATATCCCAACAGTGCACAATAAATATAACATATACTTCATAATTTTTCCTTACAACAGGATGCTGTCACATACAAAAGGAAAGCAAACGTGTGTTTTCCTCTAATATAGTCCAGAATTCCTAACGGATACTTTTCATGTTTTCCTGGCACAATTGACATCATGAGGCTTTTCCAAAGAGTCCTCCCATTAAAATAAGAGCATAATATTTGGTAATATAAAAAATATTTGGTAATATAATGAAGTAATGTATTTCAAAATCCATTTCTCAATCAATAAATGATGGTAGTAAATTACATAGAAAATTATCAGAAAAATATTTAAGAGTCAATTAAGTTACAAGACACCTGCATCCTCTTCCTCCCTCTGGAATTTTATGCAAATACACCCACAGACATGATTGTTGGTAATATTTTAAAATGTTCCAGTAATGCTCACTAAGTAAGAAGCTTGAAATGTTTTGGAATTCTGTAATGAGATTTATTACAATCTTTTACACCCCAAATCCACTTGTACATACTTTCATTTTAAAGAACTCTAGAAGTATTGAAACTTTTCAAAATATTTGCTCAAGGGTTAAAATTAAAGCTGGGGTGAGTAGAAAAGACAGACAGTATGCATGTATAGTATCTATGTAAAGATGAGAAAAGTGTGCATACCTGTGTGCATGCATAAATGAAAGAGGAAGCAAGGGAGATCATAAAACCAATCTTTTTCAGAATAAGAAGTGACTGGTAAACATGAATTTATATGATGTTTAGAAAACATTAAAAATATCTTTCTTTTCTTATTTTGTTATCTTACTTAAAAAGACTTTGTGTTAATCAACTCAGAAACCCATCCTGAAGGAATCTTCATCTGACCAGGAAAAGTAAAATATTTAGTTCCTTTAAGGTCCAAAAAAAAAACCACCGAACAACTAATAAAAAGGCAAGACAAGTCCAGAAAAACACAGTCAAAAAGACAAAAAAAAATACATTAAGTACTAATGAAAAAGAATAAGCTAGAATAAAGTAAAATCCTAGTCACACTAAGATACTCAGGTCTCTGATTATAAGAACAAATGAAATCAGAATAATTTAAATTGCCTATATCCCAGCGATTGCCTTGAGGAGGTAGCAGATAGTCAAAACTACATCAATGTATTAATCCTAAATTAACCTTTTTTTTAACCTTATTTTCTTTTGTTCTAATTCTCGTTGAATCAAAATAAGAATAGCTTAGTCTCAACAAGAACAGCAAGACCAGGAGATATCAACCAGAAACATTTTTTGAGTCCCCTCCCCAGGAGAGAATTAATTCAGGAGAATTAATACAGGAGAAGCTCTCTATGACCAAGACATTAGCTATCATCTCTTATGTGCAAAACCACTGGGACTGGAAAGACATCAGTCTAAGAAATGCATTTACTGCCCCACCTCTGCGTGCACCTCCAGCCTGCGGAGCACGACCAGCTGGATCCTGCCGCGAATGTTGCCCTCCATGGACATGGAGCGCCTGAGGGTTTCCATGGCCTCGTGGTTTGACTTGCCCAGCAGCGACTCCCCGTTCACTGCAACCAACTGATCGTTGACTCGCAAACGACCGTCCTGCAAGCAGAAAGCAAAGACAGTTTAGAAAACCCCAAGAATTATTAAGCAGAGGTGCTACATATGGGAAAGCACGATGCGGACAATCAGACATTGCTGCTGTAACTCAATAAATGAAAGACTGGACAGTGCCAGAAATAACTTTGTGTCCAGTAATTGGCATTTTTCACCCCTATTTACTACATTTTTGGAAAGAATTCATAGTGAAAATACAAACATAGATGCTCATGCACAGACTGCTGTTTTTCTTGCGTTTGAAATTTTTTTGCATCATTGAAAAAACTACAAATCAAACACACAAAACCAAAATATACAAACCATAAAAAACCCCACCCACTCCATCCATGAAAAAGAAGGAAAAAAATATTTTTTTTAGTTTAAAGGGTCCACACTATAACTATTGGGTATCCACACCGCAATCACAAAGAAGTACTACAACCTATTTTTCATGCATTATTATCAGCCATTAAGATCTGATAAGAAATAACTCCAAAAATTTTGTCTTACAATCTTACTGGTATGTATCTTGTCACAGTTCCCAAGCCATCACATGGTCCAGTGTCCTCAGTACAGAATGGTCACTAAAACTTAAGCATCCTTACTAATAAATGCTGTCCCTATTTTACAACACCCAAAGAACATGCCATGGACTTTTCTCTCTAACAAGAAAATAAGATCTATTTAATTGAGACACAGGAATTTCTTTTAAAGCTTGTCAAGTTCACAGTTATCAGGCTGGCATCAGACCTCAAACAAGAAGGAGTAAGAAACCAAAGACATCTGATACAAGGTGGTGAAGAAACAAAAACAGGGAAGATCTTGCACAGAAATACAGTACTTGGTTAAGATGAGTCTGATTCATTCACAGGCTCAGCACAAACTCTTCATAAGTCATTCATCCGAACTGTTTACATATTTCATCTGAGCAATACAAATGTATAAACAATCTGATTTCTATTTTTTTTTCTGCAACTAATATGTTGAACTCACTGTCCTGCTATTGCTGCCAAGTCTGTCATTTCTGAGTGAGTTACAGTAGCTGTGACACACCCAGCTTTATTAAGTGTTATTTTTTGTTGGAACTGCATATTACTACAACAGGGTACAGATAACCACAAACCTGAAGAAAAAACAGTATATAACAAAATCCAGAGTAAACTGGGATGGACAAGAAGATAGAAAGAAATATAGGAAAGAAAAATAATTAGGAGGTGAGTCACTCAGAAAAAGGAAAATGAAGAGAAATAAAACTTTTCTTGGGAGGGTGTGGGAATGGAGGATGGAAAACAGAGACACCATTTGGAAGAGATACTGAAACCTCTCTCACCTCTCTGCTGAATATTTTATGCCAACTTAGACATACACACAGTCAAACTCAGTAAGTAAACCCTACCCTTTACATACAAATGATGCCATCACAAGAGCTAAAGTGTAGAGACAAGAGTTAACATTGCTGAACTGAAAATTTTATCATTTGCACATGTTGCATTTCCTCTGTATTCAATCAAAATTTGCTGAAATGGAGCTATTCAGAGCAACAGGAGTTTGAGGAAAAAATACAGTTTTTTGTAAATTTCTATAAGACTTTGAAAAATTTACAAGTCCTCATGTCCTCCCCATATTGTCCTACAGTTTCTCAGATGACTGTTTCTCCTTTCTGAAAAAAACCCCCACCATGTATAAATATCTGTTAAAGTTTGTTTCTAAAGTGTATTACAAATACAGTGTCAAATGGATCTTGTCACAACTACATCTATTAAGTATGCAACTGTCCTGAACACAGCATGCATTTTTAAATGAATCACTGAGCCTCATAAGGTTCTGTGTTGGCCCAATTTTTAATATTCCTTGTAGTACTTTTGTATGACTGTATTTATTTATTTTAATTACATTACTTCTTAAAGGCCTTCTTTAGATGCATCCTCCCTTCTTCCCACTCTGTTATGTGCAGCACTTAAATGAAAAATTCAACTTGAATTCAACACTTAAATTGTGATTGAAGAAAAAAAGATGTGCATCATTCATAAATGTTGATCAACAACACTTGTTAAGTCACCTGTACAAGACAGGGTGGAAGACAGCTGAATGCTGTTTTCACACAACAGGCAGAAGTTACTTCACAGAAAAACCTTTTGCCTTTTTAGAGACCAGGAAAAAAAATCCCAACGTCTGAACAGTTTCCAAACACAGATTTTCACATCCCTTGTGTTATGGCCTGGTTTGGAAGCCTGAACTGCAAGAAAATCTGCTTGGCTCAAAACAAGTTAAATGTTGTTTTCACACGTTTCTTCTTTCATCTCTGAGAGGTAGGTTTCTTTGTGGCTTTTGAGTAGGAAAACAACATTTGGCATTTCAGCAGAACAGTTTTCAAATGCCATCTCTGGAACTGCGAGTGAGCTATTCTAATAGAGGCTGATATTCTTCCCTCACTTATTCAAAAAATGCTGGGTTTTTTATGGTGACTCACAGCAAGGGGCAGAATCTACCACCACGTGGCTGCCATATTCCTCAGAGTCATTCACAAGATTCCACTTTTTACAGTAGAGCAGGAAGATATAATGCCATGATCTTCAAGGACTTATGTTTTTAATCAAGGCACAATAAGCTATTTCCCTTATCACACCAATGACACTTCTGTCAGAAATGCCCTAATGGCAATTATTGGAATTATCCAATTTCCCCATCCATCGCACACAACGAGCAGTGTTTATTGCAACAGCACACAGAAGGACCAAGGACATTTGAGCTACACCATGTTTGATTTGAACAAATGCACACATAGAAAAGATTACATTATTTCTTGTAATGGCTCTGTTTCATTTCAGCTGCAGTGGATTGCAAGTACCTGATCCCCAGGAATGCATCATAAGTGCAAAGCCAAGATGTCTCAAGGTGAACAAGGCTGAAATCCCCAGAGTTAGGGGGAGTGAAGATACATTTAAACTCAGTCAAATGTTAGTTCTCTTCACATGAAAGGCTCTGCATAAGTACAAATATCAAGTATTCCAGCAACCTCTTTATCTTAGGGATGTTAAAAAATAGATACTTCAAAATTACAAAAGAAGGTTAAGAAGGGACATAATGGTTCAATCAGCAAAAGCAACTGGTTTTATTCCTGCAGGATACAATGTTAGAATACAAACCCGGAACTTTTAAGGCATTTTTCTTTTGTCTGATTTTGTAGGCAGAGCATTAAAGAGGACCAAGTCTTACTGTAGCATGTATGACGTTACATGCATTGACATTTTCTACAACCTTTAGCTAGGACAAAAGAAAAATCATAAAAGACAGAACTAAATACTTAAACTTTCCATTATGGTTTTTAAAATATCCCTTACTGTACTTTGCAATGCCACTAACACATCAGAGTTAGATTACCATGTTAATGAAATCAAAAAACTTAAAAATACTAGCGTCTCTTAAGACCTTGGTTCAAGCCAATAATAAGAAAGAGTAACCAAAAATGATGGTCTACATCTCAAAGTCTACTCTTCGTTCTAAAAAACACATGGGTAAAAGAAATTTAATGCCTCAAAACCTTTACACAGCATTAGAAGGATTGAGCATTTACTTCACCAGTGAAATAAATATGATGAAATTCTATGTATTACATTTCCTCTTATGAGGACAAGCAGTGACTGTATAAACAAGGGGATAAAGTTTCAACTTATATTATTATGATACACCAATAGAGAAAATATTTTAAATTCTAAATGCAGAAGTGAGAAATACTGAAAGAATTCTCATGTCAGTGAGCATTAAGATTTCCTCCTGTGACTGTTTCCCAAGAAAACACTGTACACTGAAAAGCAAATGCACATGTCTTAATCCATAATAATCCATGTCAGAGAATACCAATGAACAGCATGGGAAAATGTTCTGGACAACTACCAGCTGGAAATAAAAGCTTTTGATTTCAAAACTTGCTCCAAGAAGAGATTTAAAATAAGGACAATAGGATATCTTTAAATATTTATGTACAAATATGTGCACACTTTTTAACTTGATTAAAGAAATTTTATTAATTGTTTATACACACTGATTAGGTTGTGTTCTATAGAAAGGTCATTAGACAGAAGAAAGACAGCTGTTCTGCATGCATTACACAACAGTAGATTGTGAGTCCTAAAACATTGCCAAAATGACTGCATTCTTTGAGCACTTGTACACAGGACAGTCTCTGAACTGGTCTCGTTGAAGCCAGAGCCTCAGGTACTGTCTTATTTGCTCTGGAGCCTACATTCAGATCCATTTCCACAAAACAGGTCTAATTGCTGAAAAAGTTGTAATGAGGTAGGATGGAGAGCAGGTCACAGGACTACAGGCTATCACAAGACAAAACAATCTCCCAGCCATGGTGACTAACTGTGGCTGTTCACTCGGGGCTGAGCACGCAAGTCCTGCTTTAGTAGTCTCTGGACATCTCAAACCAAAGTAACTGCTCTGGAGTGAGTCTCTGTGGGGGAATAGAGAGTAGCAAACATACAGACCTAGAAAGGGTTGTCTTATGGGTCTGTGATGTGACAAGTCAGGCAGCCAGCCTGCTAATATGGAATATGGCTCCACAGCTTGGCTATTCAAAGCAAAGAGTTTATCCATGGCAATGCACTGTCGCTGCAACTGGTGTGGACACAGAGCTGGGAAAACAAAGAGGGCAGCCTCATTTCCACAGTAAAATGATTCATACTCTGCAGCAGACATGAACATGAATTGAGCTTGTCCAGCCTTAATTTGGCCATATGTGTGTTAACTTGGTTCTGGAGTAATCCAATCAGATGAAGATCCAAGATTTGAAACAACTGTGAGACTAGGACAGGTAAATAACAGAAGCAGGGAACTATTAAACATTCTCATGAAACCTAAAACCATGATTATTGATATTTACTAGCTGCTGTAAATAGATGATCACTGAAGTTTTAATACTGTGAATTGTCTTACTCAGCAGACTGATGTCAGTAGAGCAATTTACATAACACTGAATTAAAAGGTATTTTTACAGAAGAGAGAACTGCAAGGAATTGCTGAGATAAAAGACAAAAATTACATTATGGTTCTACAGGTGTTAAACATACTAGCTCTGAAAGATGAAGTAATTTGTTTCCAATTCAGAGAAACTACCTTTTCCAAGTTTTATTTGGGGGGAAAAAATGCAGTCAACAGATTTCTAAAAGATTAGACAATAACTCAAATACTTTTTAATCATAAAATGTACAATAGTCTTTGTACAGTGCTTAGAAGGAACAGAACAACCCATAATACTGTCATTTACCAATTCAATATTACCAATTCAATCCACCTCAGGAATAACTGATAACTTCTGCACATCTGATGTCAAAGCTCAACCAAGACACATTTTTAATACAGTGATAAAAAATATTATGAACAAAAAAGAAGAAAATTATGAGAGTGTTTTTATTTACAGACAAAGTGTAGGTATCAACTTCTCTGTCACTGAGCCAATCAAACTTTTCTCTTTCTGCAGGCTGTGGGAAAGGTGGAAGACAGCCTCTACACATACCTATCGAGCCATATCCTTCTTCCCCTTCCCCATTTCCTGCAACATCCAAATGTTCTCTAAGGTTTGCACCAATTCACTTTGGAAAATTTTGTTGCTTCACACACAACCCCAGAAACCCCGGGACAAAATGTTAGATTTGTAGTTCATCCAAAGGAATGAGTGACAAAGGTATTTGTACCTAGAATGCTTCTCAAGTGACATTCAGCACTCAACACAGAAATGGCACAATTCTAACCTATTCATCTCCTTATGTGCTTCTTCCATACCTTAAAAGCAGCACCTCCGTGAATAACTGATTTGATGAAAATCCCAAGATCAGCTCCTGTCTCCCGAGATTTGTTGCCTTTCAAGCTCACACCAAGTCCAGCAGAGCCAGAATCATTCAGAGGAATTTCAAAGGTCAGCTGCTCTGTGGTTTCTGGAGAAAAAATACTGCAGTTTGGCTCTCCTTTCTGTTGGAGAAAACAAGGATAAAAATAGGGGTGAAAAGTCAGCATGAATGGTATCCACAGATTTGTACAATAAGAAATAGTCCTCTTTTCCAGAAAGTAGCTTGAATAAACATCCTTATAATCAACAGTGCATTTAGCTGACATTTTGTCACAAAATCTGGCTTAAAATGTTATTTTTAATGATACCTGGGAATATGCTTAAATAGGAGGTAAAATAGCTTAGTTCCACATGATATAAAACTGATGTTGCAGCAGAATGTAGAAAAGACGTTTATACACAGCTGCATTAAAAATGTAAGCCATAAAACTCTCAACATCTTTACATGCAGCTCACAAACTATAATGACAGTTGTACTGTTAAATCCCATTCCCCTTTGAAAATTGAGTTTCATCCTTAAAAAATTATCCTTCCCTTAAACCTGTCTGCAGAGGAAAGCTGGTGTAACAAAAACGAAGGTGAAAATTGAAAGCACAGTAACTTATTCTGCACTAACTCCCTTAGGACGTACTTTTATTCCATAGAGGTTTGATTGTTCCTTTTTCTTTCTGGTATAGGTTAATCCCAAGACTTTCTCTAGATTAGAGCTGTTTACAAGACTGTCAAGTCAAGCATACACATCTACGGAAGATCAGAAAGAACTGTCTTTTACTCTACACTGTATTTGCAGTTTTGTCGCTGGGCAGAGGGGAAGCGTGTGTAGTTGTCTTTTTAAAAACAGGTTAGAATCATAAAATTAAACAAAATCAAATTTTTGCCTGGAATATTTATCTTGGCACACCTCAAAAATATAAGGACAAGGAGACCTACTATGGAATGAAGTGTTCTTGGAAGGTGTTAGTGCAAAAGACCTTATGCAACACTTTCAATTTTATTCCATTTTTCCCTCTCCATGTAACTCTAAGACAATTAGTAGGCTTTTGTTTCTTGTCATCTGGGCATTTTCTATTTGAAACAGTAGTATTAAAAAATTAATAGGGAAAAAAACTACAAAAAGGTAGCACACAATTACAAGTTGAAAGATGACTGGCTGCTGCTTCCAAGGGTGTCAAATTATTCAGCAGAGGCTACCTGCAAGGAGTGCAGTAGCTGGGCCAATCCTCCTCTTCCCCAGCGAGGGATCACTTCCAGGACCTAAGCTGCAGCACATACAGCATCAATGCAATTGTCAGCAAAGGTGCCAGCCAAACAGAGGTTTCCTCAGCAGCCAGAGCACACCTGTGCATTCAGATACTATGCTGTCTGATCAACAAAAGCATGACCCCAGAATTAAGGGCAGAAATTAATATCCTGAATAAACAGTAGCACTAAGTATACTTGCACTTATTTCAGATGCCCTTTCACTGATGAAGAGCAACCACTGGGTAGAGAGGAATCAGATCAACCAGAAAACTATCAATCTCAGTCCCAATATGCATCATGTTTAAATTTTTCCTGGAATGTAATTACATGATATTAAAGTCAATACAATTTGCCTAACTGCCAAATATAAAAATGACATAGCACCAACACTGACAATTGTCTTGATACCAGCATTCATCTCCAGTACCTAAGTTACACATGTGTTCTGTTTTTGTTCATCAGGAGTACAGAGTTCTCAGTTACACATCTGTCACTTTTACTTCTTGGCTTTGGATATGGACATCCTGAACATAACCCCGCAAAATCCATACATTTGCAACAACTGTGAACAATACAACATGGTAACTTTTAAACACTCCTCCTCTGACTTCAGAAGAACTAGTGTAAGGAAGAAATCCACTACTAGCCTTCTAACATAACCATTTTGTGTTTAACTTTGCTGTATTTGTCTGAAATTAACTTTCTCAAAGTTTTAGATAAAAGATTTTCACAAAACAGAAGAATCTTTAGTTTTGTTCAGCTTGCACATACATATTCTAGTCAGTTGCTCCCAAACTCTTAAATCAGAAATCTACTCAACTGGCACATCCTGTCAAGATTTAGAAAGAAGAAATTCTTCTCAGGGTCCCAGCATGTGATGACTCCTGCCTTTAGGACAGGACTTTCATGGTCTTTCATGGTATTACTTTCATGGTCCCCTAGGCAAGCAGTTCCTGTGTGTTTCTGCTCTCCTTCCACTTCAATCTGTGACATCTGCACCAGACCTGCCCCTTCTCTATGTCAATACTGTGGTTTTGTCTTTGCCCATACCACAAGAAAGGCAGTGAGGGGGCTGTTAGCACAAAACACAAAGCTCCTGGTGCTCATGCTTGTCTTAACCAGAGCAGTCACAAACTGCTCTATAGTGCTACCTCTGTACAAACTTGGACTTCATACAAAGCTGAATTTGGTCACCCAACAGAGTTACTCAATGTTCTCTATTTTCCAGCTTCCTTTAATATAATTATGCTGTGCATTAGCCCTTGTTAAGTAACCTACCACATCACCTATGCCTGGATGTCTTCAGCAGACAAATACAGCAAACTTTTGTCAATATATCATTTCCCATGTTTTCTTTAGTACTTAATTTGGAATCTGTAACATTTGTCTACCATTTTCCTTGCTACAATTTTCTGTTAAACAGATCACTTGATCATATCAAAACCTCATTAAATTTAATGTAAGCTGCTTTCACCTATTACTGGAGAACTCTAATTTTTAAGTCCTTCACAAGTTTCTTGTTCAGCATAGTCCAATCATCCCAAACATCTCTCCTTTTCATTATTTATAGTCAGCTTTAGCTAAAGATCCAGCAAATGCTGAATGCTGAACTTTGTCTAATGGTACTATCAAAAATTTGTTACCCATGATGAAGACTGAATGACAATTAAAAGATTTCACAGAGATGTGTAAGAGGAAAGGAGATGCATATCTACAAGTCAGTGATTAATTCACTGTAAGGCAATAAACTCTGTCTTTACTCCCTTAAAATTTTCCTCATATACTCATTGTACAGCATCTGATAGCAAATGCCTGGTAGTAAGTCTACAACATCAAGACTATTTGGTGCAAATACAAGACTGAAAATCTTATTTGTGGGAGGATGTGAGAAGCAGCAGAAAGGAGGAAAACCAGAGGAGAAAAAAGGGATGAACAAAACCTAGAAGTTTGATTTCATCCTATACTTGCTGAATGTTTTCAAATTATTATCCTGATCATAATGCTCTTCCCAAGCAACACCTTTTCACTGATAACAAAAAGAGCTCCAGCCATCCTTAAGTTAACAGCTCATCAATTTACTGCTTCATTTGGGCAACTAATTTAATGAATGATGGCCTCTGTTCCTAGAATATGCAGGTATGAATATTAAATGCTGATAGTGACTCACAGAGCTGGATTCCTACTGCTTCTATTTCCCTGACTTTGCTAAAACATTATCCCAAGACATCAATACTTTACAACATAGCAACCACCATCAGCTGAATTATGGTCTGGTAAAGGAAACCCTCTCCAATGCACTAACCCTTGAATTCTATTAGAAAAACTTCTTACTTCAATATCATCCTAGAATCTGAACTCACTCAAACACAGAACAAATGAAATGAGCTGCAACACAAATATATTTGTAGCCTGGAAAAAACTTACAGCTTTATGTTATAAATTACCCAGTCAACAACCACATCATGTATTTTCCATAATAAATGTATCATACCCTGGCAGTTCAGGAATTAAATGATAGTATATTGCTGAAGCTATTCCCCACTGCAGACATAGGAAAGTAACTCAACTGTAGTAGGATAAACAAGAAATTTTCACATAAATTGAAGTCCAGATAGCTAAGTGGTGATCCCTCTGGATGGTTAGAGCTTTGAGATGGCCTGGCCTGTACTTTTCACACAGTTCCAAAGTGGGCAAGGTTGGGAGGGAGAAGAGTGGCCCAGTCCTCTTGCTCAAGCAGGGTCATCCTGGAACACATAGAACAGGATTGTGTCCAGGTGGTACTTGAATATCTCCAGTGAGGGAGACTCCACAACCTTGAGCTCCCTCAGCCTTTCCTGATAATAGAGATGCTCCAGCTCCTTAATGATCTTTGTTGTCATCCTCTGGACTTGCTCCAGGAGCTCCACATCTCTCCTGAGCTGAGCAGCCCAGACCTGGACACAGCACTCCAGATGTGCCTCACCAGGGCTGAGCAGAGGAGCAGGATCACCTCCCTTGACCTGCTGGCAGTGCTCGTCTTAATGCACCCCAGGATCCCATCGGCCTTCTTGGGCACAGGGGCTCACTGATGGCTCAGGAACAGCTTAATGTCCACCAGGATCCCCAGGTCCTTTTCCACAGAGCTGCTCCAGCAGGCAATCCCCAGCCTGTGCTGGTGCAGGGGGCTGTTTCTCCCCCGATGTGGGACCCTGCATTTGCTTGTGATGAATTTCAGAAGGCTCCTCCCTGCCCATCTCTCCAGCCTGCCAGGGTCCTTCTGAAGGGATGCACAGGACTAGGGGGGATCAGCCACTCCTCCCAGAGAACCTGCTGAGGAGGCATCTGCCCCTTTACCCAAGTCACTGATGGGCCCAGTATTGAACCTTGGGGGACACCAAGGCCTCCAACGAGCCCCTGTGCCACTGTTCAGCCAGTTCTCAATACACCTCACTGTCCACTCACCCAGTACACACTTCCTGAGCTGGCCTGTGAGGATGTGGTGAGACACAGGGTTGAAAGCCTTGCTGAAGTCAAGGCAGAGGGACTATTAAGAAAACACTTATTGTTCTGAAAGGAAGAGTGAATGAGTACCTGACCTAGAATAAAGGCTTAGTTCTTAGTGTCAATTAATTCAGTTTTGGTCATGTTGCTGACCATGACTTGTTTTGCTAACAAGAGTTTCTTTTAACATTTTGTCTCAGAGAAAGAGGCTGAAATAACACAGATGACTTGTGGTGCTGATGGGCTTCTTGAGCACTGAAATCTGATAATCAAACTTCATACAATTCAGATAAACATATATTAAGGGGGCTTTTGGAAATGTGCACTTTTGGGGTGGGTGGCTCATAGCTATTTATTTGCAAGAGTAAAAGCATTAAAAAGTATTTCAGAGGAATAGTTAAGAAAAACTGGAGAAATGGAAATGTATTGTGGGAACATGAATTTTCTTCATCTCTACTCCTCCTCATCTCTGCACTTCTTTACTACTCAGTATTTCCCCCAATATGTGCCTGTATGACAATTCATTTATATGGGCTAACTTCTGAGGCATCTGAAATCCAGAGTCACCTGCAGAACTAATTAAATGCTAAAATCTCCATCCTATAAAAAAATATTAAATTCTGTATACTTCTTACCAGATTGTAAATGGTTTCAAGGCTGGAAAGTTCATGAATGTTTTACTTTTGTGTTATGCAATCAGTTGATCTGGGAAGCTGGGAAGGCAAATGATTATTGATTAGTTCAGGTGATTTATTCTAATGGGACCTGCCCAAGTCTACCCTGTGTGGGAGTGCTGTCTTGTTAAAGATGATGATATGCAGGGGGAGGAAGTTCTGAAACCTCTCCTCAAGGTTTCGCTCCAGCCTCCAAACAAAAGATTCTGGACAGTGGCCAGACTTTGAAAGTAAGCCTATAGAGTTCATAAAAATAGTATTTTAGTCTGATATTTCCTGATCTGCTTATAAAGACAGTCTTTGCAGTTGGGAGTTTTTGTAGT